CTTGTCAAAGGATGGATATATGTCGTTTCAACGACTGAATTGGTAACATACATTGCCTACATGTTATTTTTCCGCTTACTTTGTCTGTAGTGCAACCTTTGTGTGAGTGGGTAATGTAACACGCTCGTCAAACCAGAGTCAAACACATAATGTAATGTTGTTCATGAGACCATGGCAAATTATCAGTCTGCCTGTCTGTCTAAGTGTAAATACACTCAGTTCCTAACGGAAATCGACATGGGTTTACGGGAAATTTGTTGAAATCAGAAGCAATGTCTGGCTCATATTTATGACCCATTGGCGATACACCACCTTCTGTTTGATTCTAAAACACATTAAGTAGACATCAAAGAACCCTAGTCTGAAAGGCCAGTAATTATCAGCGACGAACAAAAGTGTATAACCATCGTTACCACGTTACCATGTATACAAAATGACATAAAAATATACATTTAATCATGGGAGGCAAACCATTTATCAGACCAATGCACTTGCTAATCAATGATTCAACTTGATTTTATCAATACATTATGACATTTGTTGACCTGAAATGAATGTTTAACAACTATCCAGAAATATCCATCGTTTTCCATAAATAGTAAACACATTTGCTACACGATATTATGTAATTCGTATGGAAATTCGACGGTTGATTGATATGTTCTAAGCCTTACAATGAATTGCATAATAGTGAACTATTTTGTTCTTGACATAAATTGTATGAGTCATTTGATCGTAGTGTTTCTAATGGAAACTGAGCAAACTTGACACCAAAACACCCCCCTCGAGGTATGAGTAAATGTATTAGCATCGGGAGGGTCAGTAGGCTGGGGAGATTCTATGATATTTTCACACTGGAACATACATATGGCTTTTATGAAATGAAATGAAAATGCAAACAGACTACAGGCAACAACCTGTATCTATACCATAACAAGAAAAGGGCACTGATATAGTAAACTTGTTGGATGGTGAAACGTGGCCACTCCTCGATACAGAAGTAGAGGGCATGTTATCCGTACAAATTCTTTTGTTAGGTTCAGTCTCATCAGGGATTCGAACCCACACTCAGCCACCACGTTATCCGGGTTAGATCGTTGACTTTGTGTGTTCTAGAATCTGTACTTTACCGAGAAAGTGTAATCCGAATTAAACAAACATTACACTATTTGATCACTTTCTAAATGGCATGATGTGTTTATACCTGTATTCAATTTGAGATCTTATGTATGAGTCACTTGAGAAAGAACAGTCTTGGATTGAATACATAGATACGATCATCTTCAGTCAGTTTGTATTCATTAGACTTTATGTCTTGTGTATGTGTTTCGAAAGTATTTACATAAAACAAGTTATATGGTGAATATAAAACCAGTGATTGATGCAGCTGAGAGGGGATCATGTTAACACAAACCTTTTTCACACTACACAACCATAACCTTCTAGTGAGTCAATGAGATGTGTGAGAGAACTTCTAGAATGATTTATAAGCGTTTGTAAATAGCCTGTGTAACATACGGATTCATTTGCAATGTATGCAAAACACTGTAAATAACACGAGTGCATCAATGTAATCATCGTATTAAATGTATAATACAGCATTTAGTCTATTCATATCTTCATTCAGGTTAATAAATACGGCGTTATACTAAGTGTGACAGGTTGGGAATCTCTTCTTCGTAATACCTAAACGTAGGCATTGTTTCATTAAAATTTGTATTGGACCTTATGAGTAGCTAAATAGTATCATCTCATTTAACGCCATATTCTATATCACTTCATCGTAAAATATGTATATGTATAAACAGTATGTGCATTTACATTTGGTATCAATGTTAATTAGGTTTCTCCCTTGTTGTATCTATCTCAAGATTATATTGTGCGTCATATGTATGTGTATTGCTGTAAATTTGTTCGTATTAGCGTTTGACGTATAAACAACTGATTATGTTTAATGGAATACTGATATGTTTTATGTGTTGTAATACCTCTTGTGGCAAGCCTATGGCAATCTTAAAATGTGTAGGGTGTCGTTGATTCTTGCCTTGTCAGGTAATGTCACATTTGTAAAATGCTTACACTCATTCGAAAACAAGTGATGATCTCTGTCTTGTTCTTGGCAACCCAACAACGTACATCGGCGTCATATGTCTGTATCTGTGTCTCTAATGCCGTAACGGAGGGATGTTTCTTATGGTATGTATGCTCATGTGCATTAGTGCTGATCCATGAACGTGAAATAAGTAACGGGGTCAGTGCATCAATCGGTACTCTGTGTTTAGACCCATGTACAACAAGGTCTTTTAGCATATGCAAGTATGCAATTGTTCCTGTATGTTGGTATTACTGTATCACAGCTTTCCCTGTCATAGACGGTCGTTAGGCGTATCCAAATGGCTTTGGCACCGTTTTCACAATTCTGTAATATATGTCCCTGCTTACATAAATGCCATGTTTGGTCAGTGTTCACATGCCCCAGAATAATTTATTCCTGTTCAGAAAATATTTCCCTTCAATGTCAAACAGGCTACATATAAAATGACTAGCCTTTTGTTAAGTTAAAATAACTTTTAACTCTACAAATTATTAGTTCAGTGGGATGCACTCTGAACCATTGGTTGTCGAGTGTCTCCACACACTGAAACAAATATTACCTTTAAAACAAGACGCCAGTCAGGAACAGAAATGCCAATGATCCAATGATTAAGAATTGTAACACAGTGTTAACTGTTTCATGTTACTTGGCCAAAACGTTTATCTTAAGCTTTCGGTATTCGATGACCTGAAATTGTCAAAATGGCATTTGCTTTCATTCATTTACCTTCCTGAACCAGAAATGACTGAGTATCGTGAAAGCGCCTCATAATATTTCATACTTTGACAGAAAAAACTATCCTTAAAACCATGTCAAGAAGGGTGGCTTTCAATTAGTCATTTTTTTCTTTATATCGGACAATATTCCAGAAGCTCCAGCCATAGGGACCAACCGTTTAACGTTTGAGGTATAATCTTCTAAGAAAATTTTAAAGAGCGTCATACAACTTTTCCTCAAACGTTGTTGATCAGGGCTAGAACATTCAAGGCCTTAGAAAGCCCTTAAAATATGGTATATATATATACTCGTCAAATACATTTTCAAATGTCACACATCCGTGACCAAACTGAGGTCAGATCCAATTTTCTAGTTTGACATGTACCACATGTTCCCGTGTTTTTCAGAGCAATTGACTCGACTCTGCATGGGTTTGTGACGAGCGAACACCCGTTTTCATGACTTTGTGATAATGATCAAATACATGATTATGATATCGTCAGAATCTTACAATGAACTCAGAGATATCTTGTGATTATGGAAAGGATATCGTCCATCATATATAAATATTATACATTCTATGTTACAATATGAATAGTGCTGTCCCCAAAAATTCTGATATTACTACCACTGGAAAATACACAGTAACTATATCTAAACATCTTATACTTAAAGTTAATTTGTTGACATAAGTACCCATGTTCGTTTACAGAAGAACATGTGACTTGACTTTGTATGTGCAAACAAATTACACCATTGCTACCAGTGGGACAGGATACGCTTATCTTGCAAGGAGGACCTGGTATCATTATTCTTTTATAGTGCTTCTTCAATACCTGATATAGCAGATTTCCTCTGATGATCGAAATGATGTTGGTCACTTGTATACCATTAACTACCTTCATTGGTTTCCTTGATGTATTAGGCATAGTTGTTAAGAATTTATCGGTAATAACAAATGTATTCCTGTCTTTACTTACACATCTAGAAACGTTTATTCAATCTTGTTTTATCATGTTGGAAGTGTGAATTGCACCGTTTTGTGTAGTACATGTCGCATAACAACGTTTTCAGGATCCTGGCATCCCAGGCTTCGGAATCCTGATCACAAATGCTTCGGGTTCATCATCTGTCGTGAAACTCTACACCGTTTCGAACACAAACAGCTTATTTACTAAACGTTGTGTAACCATGAATAATTTTTACGCGCAGCACTTTCAGTTAAACATTAAACAGGTGACAAAGCAGCGGAATCGTATATAACGTCTTCTTCTCTAAGAAACGTCCGTTGCATCGCTTGGCAATTGCAAGATTATGTCTTTCAATTTTTTCATGCACATACCTGTACAAAAAGGTCAAAACACTTCTTGCCAACGTAATGATAATATGCTCAGTCGACCGTATGGCAGGTCTATCACCATGATGCAGTAGAAGACTGTGGCTTTTGACGCAATTGTCAGAATTATAAAAGTTTCTGCTGTGACACCACCAGGAGAAAGTCTGCACCAGTGGCATCTAAGCATTCCATCACCTTTGCATCATCACTTGCTGATATGAAACAACAAAGTGACCCAATGTATACATTTGCAACTTCAGCGTTACATATACATTGTTGATGCTTTACGAACCATGGTCCTCATCCCAAACCGTGTTTTTGCACCTAAGAGAAGTGTGAATCACATATGCCAGTTAATATTCACTCTTCCCTATGGTGACACAGTAGCTACAGACCCAGACTAACTAGATTAGCGGACACAGATTCGAATTTGTGTTGGAACAAATACCCAAGCACTGTTTGTGTTTCCATAGAAAGGAATGTTTTGTTAACAATAAGGATACGCATGTTGTTTCAATCTGAATGTTACACATATACGACCATGATGGAAAAATATGTACACATTATACAGCAATAGAAGCGACTAAGATTAAAAGCAGGAATATTAAGCTAAAGCGGTTATTCCATGGCTCCCTCCAACCGGCCCCCAGAAAAGAGGACACACACAGAGAATTATTTAAACCAGTTTCTGTCAAATTGTCAAATAAGTAGGGAAAGGCTATCACGGTTAACAAGACTTATTATTTTGTTTCTTTTTCAATGAAATGCCACTTGTACAGTAATGGCCAGGTATATCACAAAAACCTAAATTTGCATGCAGGCTCCAGATTAGACAGAAAAACAACACGTGGCGAATCTTTAGCATTTATTTGTCTTATAGTCTGACAATAATTACACCTGTTCATGTGGCAAGTGAACTTTAAGTGATGTACGGGATTGTGTGAAACGAGACATATAATACTCATAATCATTAGCATAGTTCTTTCATGAAACGTGAAATAGATGGTCTCATTGTTTGCTAAGCTTTGCATCTAAAACGCAGGAAAGCGTATCATTTCTAGTCACTGTATGCTTCAAAGTAAGCAGTTTCCAGGACACAGTGGCATTCAGTAGAGTCAGTCGGTAAGTAAACTCATAATACATGTTGAAGAGAACACAATGAATGGAAAAGGTTAAGAGCTTTTCTCACCCTGCTTTGGTACACCTTAGACAGTTTGTACATCTATAAAATAAACAGAAGGAAATGAATGCAAAATATACCTCAGACCAAATACACATTGAAATACAATCGCAGAATATTGAACTACATGAAAAACAAGGAAGAACCTTTACAATTATCTGTTCTTCAAATACAAGTTACACCGCTCTTCATGCGCAGAATAGCAATGGTTGATTTGGGCAAAGGAATGGGGAGATATATCTTTGATGAATCAGCCTGAGTCACATTTGAAGATTAGCTAGTAAACTGGCTATTACTATTGTGTTTTTAAGAGAACATACGAAATAATGATATTATAATATACATATATCTAATAAAATTCATTCAGGCACCTGGATACCATGCCTGTTCAACATAATTCAGCAGGAAGAGAATCTGGTCTTCGTCTTGTTCTAACACTATACCTGCAAAATTGACAAGTTAAACAAGGTTTGGGCAATGCCGTTATAATTATCTTCGTGATTTTGTATGGAATGTTACACATATGTCATTATTATTTTCGAATAATCGTTACTATGTCCCATACAACTGTATATATGAAGTTGTCGCAGTGATGGTTCCTGCTAGTTTAAATGATATGGGTATTTGGTCAAGATTCATGTTTGTTCTCAATGACAGATCACAAAATATGCACACAGCAGCCACCGCGTTTCAAGCAATAATACGTTTGTCAGTTTTCTCAGAGTGTCAAAAACTACACTCGACACTGACAGTGGCTGCTTCGTGAGGTCCATCGACTATTCACTGTTTGCCTTGTCTCCGGAGAACCCGAAACATACTTAACTTTTCCATCGCAACATGTTAACAGATCCTTGAATCCTTTCCTGAACTTACGGCTGAAAAAGCAATATATCAACGGGTTAACGCAGCAATTCGATGACCCCAGCCATTGAGCAACAGGGAATATAATATCGCTGACAATTTTCTGTGAATTGACGTCAACTTCAGGTTGGATCATTCGCCAGAATTTTAAGCCATACAATGGCAGCCATGAAAATGCAAACAGAATGCAAACAACAGCCAACATCTTTATGACCTTGACCTTTGATCTCTGTATAACGCCTGTACTACTGTTTCTTTCCCCCAGTGTACCGCGTCGCCAAACTTTAATTCCAATAAGAACATAGCATACAACGATCATAGCCAATGGTATCGTGTAGCAACAGAAGAATATGACACCCATGTAGTAAGCTTGTTGGATGGTGAAGCGTGGCCACTCTTCAATACAGAAGTACAGAACCTGTTTGCTGTTGATATACTCCACTTCCTTATAGAAGACAAGCCAAGGAACCATTATGGCAAAAGCTGTCACCCAAATTCCAAGCAGGATAAGACGAGACTTGCGAGTATCGATTTTTAACACAAGGGTGTGGCAGATGGCGAAGTACCTGTAATGAAAAACAAAGATTTGATAAAGTCAACAGAACATTTCACTGTGCTCTGTAAGCAAATGTTCATTTGAATATAAAAATATATTTATGGCGATTTTCATTTACCGTTCGAAGTTGTACATGTTATGAACGGTGAAATGAACAAAAAACATAGAAATTATTTTGAAATGCTTTCATTATACGGAGATAGAAAAATCCAGCATATTTTTTTATGGATGAGATATTTGAAATGTGTTGATAACAGTTTTAAGATGTCATAAACTTCGTTCACCGACATATTATTCTTGGCTTTATTGCGACAGGGACAATTCCCAATACACTGACGGGTTAAAATATTGCTAGGCATTACATTAATGTGAAAAAGGAACTGTTAGCAATCGTTCTAATGAACTATTCCAATATTCCTTGAAACGTATGCGAAATCGTAAAGACGTCTTTTTTCTAATCCTCAATGTTCAGCAATTCGACTGATTAAAGCTTCTTGAAACGATAGCGGTAGCGTCACAAGAGAACGAAATTCTGACAATATTGCATAGCTAAATCACAAGGAACTCGCAGTAGTATCCAAAGGAAATGTATACTGGTTACGACTTTTCATAGAGAAGAATGCTACTTGTGTAGGTCACAATAAAGTTTAAACAGTACAGCATAATTAAAAGGAGAGATGATGAATATTATGGAACCGACAACGTCACAATGCTATTTGGTCCATATATGGAACCGGGGATGCATCTTGCTTCCAAGGGAACGGTTACGGTTATCACAGAGTCTGATGCCAATCATCACATCTACAGTCTATTTGTCTCAAAATGGGGAGATGAATGGCAAACTAACTCAATTCGGGACCAGTTCATGAAATGTTAGCACGGTACATGACGATGGATCCTGGTACTCAACAATATCTGCTGTTTCGTATTTATACCCATCACTGGTAAAAGTTGTTTGAGATACTTTAATTATCTTATGTATACAAGTTGGAAACTTCATCGTGAATGTGTGTGTGGTGGGTAGGAGGAATAGCGCAAACAGGCACTGTACGTGCTACAATATTCGCTACCCAGCTGATTTCGAAACAGTTGATTTTTAAAGGTGTATGATTCTGTCAATGTGAAGCTGAAATAGGAAAATCATTTTTGCCGTAGATAAATACTTGAAACGAGCTTCTAAACCTCCTGGACCCCATTTCACAAAGCTATCCTAGAGCTACGACTGTCGTACCTCCTATACTGTAACATAGACTTAAGACATATGTATGACCAATGGTATATCAAGCTGAAAGTTGCTTTCTCTCGATGGAACTCGAACAATATGGGCAAACGGGTGGGGAACATGTCAAGACCACGTAGTGTTGTTACATTAGTCAGTTTTCAGAAAAATCAAGTCAGACGTGCAATTGTTAAACTGCATTCAGAAAATAAGTACATGTCGCCGAGACTCTGAATGGAATTCCTCGAAACTGTCATTTAATTCTTACAGCACACAAGCTATGGTATCTTTTGCATACATATGGATACAGATACAAAAATAGAGTTAGTGAAAATATATGTTAGGTTGTGTTATGTGAAAAACACAAAATTGTTCGTCTCCAAAATCATTATCTGCGTCTCCGAGTTTCATTATGGGCTAAATAAATTGTATTTATGCTGAATCAACTACAAAATAGTTTTGACCATCAGCAGTGACACAAGCAAGTCCGACGACGCTGGCTGTGACATGGGCGCCTGCGACTCAAATTTTCATGAGACGACCCCTCCACCTTGTCGCGCTGTTCCTCCTCCCGTATGTATTGTTAAAGATGTCAATTTCCACAACATGATAGTTTTTTAACAGCACATATTGTTGGGAACAGGATATTCATTTCCGTGCATCGTATTGACATTTAATAGACCATTCCCGATATTAAGCTACTTTGCAATTCATCGTTCCGAATGGGAGTCAAACGGACTGCAGCTATACGTTCACAAAGATTAAAAGATTTCCCTAGTGGTAAGAGTAGGTGTAATGTGTTTGTCATTCCGGTTGAAGGAAAGTGCTTCATCTGAAAAACCAATAACCCAGAGATGGATTTGTTAATTGTTTCTTTAACATGACATAACTATGTCGCATCAACGTTTCTACAGTAGATTCTGATTGATGAAAGCAAATATGACAAGATGACTCCCGGGAATCCATAATTCCTCCCAAACCGCTACTGACAGTGTTTATCTGTTAAAACCGTTAGGTAATTATAAAGAAGTGGCTAGACATAAAGGTGAAATAATTACTGACGTTAGATTAGACTCGGAATTAACTCGAAACTTAGACAGTAAAGGGGTAAATGTTCTTCCGCACATCAATGTGGCTACAATAGAAAAACGAATGACTGAACTGAATTTACCCTTGGCGGTGTAACTGCTTTGATCCCTTTCAGCGCACCTCAGATGTATTCGGTTATAAAACAGTCTATCAACAGGTCGCACGTCCAAATTATTTACGAACAGAAATCTATTAGGCAATGCTCGCGATGAGGAGTAATTTTGGTTAAATCAGTTATTTTCACGCCTTGCACACCGACAGCGAATGAGAAAAGGCGGCCATTTTGTAAGATGGCCTATAACATTCGTGATGGGTTTTACGGGTGTCATAGGACCTTTCCGGGAACACCTGGCCATGGGATCGTCACTATATGATTAATAGAACATAATAAAAAACAATCATTCAAGATATAATCAGTTTAATAGTTTGTCCCTTTTTATTATCAATACAGTTCAATGATATAAATATGTTCATTAAATGTATGAAAAACGGCAAGGTCAGTCTTGTTGGTTTGTATACATCTAAGGCTGAATATGGGCTACCCCGATGTGTTTTATAATTGTCATTTCCCAGGAGGCCACACATACGAAAACCATGGTTTAACACTGATTGCAAACAAGCTAGGAAGTCACGGAAGAAAGCCGAGCACTATTTCCGTCGTCATCCTATGGTCCACAATTTGGACAAATTTAAAATTTTAAACGCAAAAGCACGACGTACTTTCAAGCAAACTAAACGCCACTCTTGGCGAAACTATGTCTCAAAAAATCAATTCGCGCACACCTATATCAAAGGTGTGGAATATGATCCAGAAAATCAAGGGTAAGGGCTCTAAGTCTAGCATTCACCATCTCAAAGATGGGAATCAGTTATTGACTGATAAATCAGATATTGCAAATAAGCTTGGTGAGACATTGGCCAAACATTCTTCCTCATCTAATTATTTACCTGAATTCCAAAAGTATCAAAACAGCAAGAAAAGAAATCTCTTAATTTCAATTCAGATAATGGGGAAGACTACAATGAAACCTTTTCGATACATGAGCTTCATACTGCTCTTGATCAGGTTTCACGATATTGCTTCTGGAGCTGATAACATACATTATCAACTCCTGAAGCACTTACCTGAATCATGTTTAGAGACGCTCTTACATATTTTTGATGACATTTGGACATCTGGAAATTTTCCTTTGTCGTGGCGGGATGCTATTATTGTTCCCATACCTAAACCTGGACGTGATCATACTGATCCCTCTAATTATAGACCAATTTCACTGACTAGCTGCGTTTGCAAAACCATGGAACGTATGATCAACAATCGACTTGTTTGGTACTTGGAAACCAATAACCTTATAACTAATATCCAATGTGGTTTCCGTAAAAACCGTAGTACCATCGATCATTTAGTGCGTTTAGAGTCTTTTGTAAAAATGCTATAATTAATAAACAGCATACAGTGTCGATCTTTTTTCGATTTAGAAAAGCATACGACACAACATGGAAACATGGTATTTTAAGAGATTTACATGACTTTGGATTACGAGGCCGTTTGCCTTACTTTATATCCAACTTTTTAAATGACAGGCAATTTCAAGTCCGAGTGGGTTCTACCCTGTCTGACCATTATAATCAGGATCAGGGTGTTCCACAAGGAAGTATTTTGTCTGTCACATTATTTAGCATTAAGATTAACAGTTTATCCAAGGTTTTAAATGATTCAATTGATGGATCACTTTTTGTGGATGATTTTAATATTTCTTGTCGCGGTAAAAATATGCATACTATTGAACGGCAAATGCAGTTGTGTTTAAATAAAATAAATAAATGGTGTCTTGAAAACGGCTTTCAATTTTCTAAATCCAAAACTAATTGTATACATTTCTGCCGTAAATATAAGCCTCATAAGGACCCAGAACTATCTTTAAATGGCACTCCCATCAAAGTTGTAAAGGAGGCCAAATTCTTGGGCCTAATTTTCGACTCCCATTTAACATTCCTGCCACATATTAAATCCCTTAAAGCTAAATGCCTGAAGGCACTCGATTTGTTAAAGGTTGTCTCCAATTCAAAGTGGGGAAGGGATCAAACTACGCTCCTCCACTTATACCGATCATTGGTACGATCTAAACTTGATTATGGTTCGATCGTATATGGTGGAGCCTGCAAAAGCAACCTTAAACTACTTGATTCTGTTCACCACCAAGGTCTACGACTCTGTCTTGGATCATTCAGAACCTCTCCAGTTGATAGTCTCTCTGTTGAGGCAGATGAGCCTTCTCTTTCCCAACGCCGTATTAAATTATCTTTACAATATATTACCAAACTATATTCAAACGAATCTAATCCTGCATTTAACTGTGTTTTCAATCCTCTTTATGAGGATTTGTATAACAAAAAGCCTTCTCTTGTTCCGCCTCTTGGGCACAGAATTAAACCATTCCTTTCTGCTGCTGGCATTGAGCTGGAGAATATATCTCCTTCTCGTCTTCTTTCTTCTCCTCCTTGGCAATTGGTGAGGCCAGAAGTTGACTTAACATTAACCACATTTAAAAAAATCAGAAACTAATGATTTACAGTATAAACAAGAATTTAATCAATTAAGAAATAAATATAATACCTATAAATCCTTATATACAGATGGATCCAAGGATGGTGGCGCGGTGGCTTGTGCCACTGTCATTGGGTCCAAAACAATATCTTCCAGACTACCCAATGACAGTTCAATTTTCACAGCAGAAGCAAACGCAATACTAACAGCTCTTAAATATGTTAATAAACACCGTAAATATAAACAATATATCATCTTTTCAGATTCTCTTTCGTGTCTTCAGGCTATTAAAAATCTTTCTTGCAAACATCCACTTTTATTAGAAATTGTTGAATTGTACAATGCACTTGCTACTGGCCAATGCGACATCGTCTTTTGTTGGTTACCCAGCCACGTTGGCATTTCTGGGAACACAATGGCTGATATTGCTGCTAAGGCAGCACTCAACAAATCTGTGACACCACTTCTGATCCCATACTCTGATTACAAAGCTGCTATAAGATCTTACATCCGTGATCTGATGCAAAAGAAGTGGGACACCCAAGTAGGTATCAATAAATTACATGCAATAAAACCCTATATCGGTTACACTTACTTGGGTTGTCAGTCCAGATTTGAAGAGGTCATTATGCGACGATGTCGTATTGGCCACACTAGATATACTCATGAGTACCTATTAAAAGGTGAGGATCCTCCGTTTTGTATCCCTTGTGACGAAAGAATCACGGTCAAGCATGTCCTGCTTGACTGTGTTGAATATTCCATCACAAGGGATATTTATTTCAACGTAAAAACTATGAAGGATCTTTTTAGTCATATAAGTTCTCATTTAATTATTGCCTTTTTAAAAAAATTAGACTTGCTAACTGATTTGTAAATAGATATATATTTTATTATTGGTGGTTTAAATTAGTAACTGATATTGTTCGTGGCTGTACCCTCAAAGGGGGTTGAAGTAGCGTAAAATTATTGTCCTCCTGAGAGGGTACGTAAGTCCCAAAACATTTAGTCAATTTAAGTGTACCAGGGTTTTAATCGTAGAATATGTGTACTTTTAATTTATGGCTAGGTTTCTCTTCTGTCGCCAATGGCTGAAGGGATGGTGTAAATCCAGCTAGGGTCCATGCAGGAAGCAAATGTACTGTAAGTCCCCATGGGCCCTAGTATGGTGATCTACCTTCAGTTGTTGGCGATCAATAGCCTGTTTTTTATATTGTATCGTCTTGTATAGTTCAAATGTTTTAGATTTGTGTTACTAGTTTTATATCTATACCTGTGATACCTAGTTATTTTACTGTCCTTCGTCGGCAGAATTTTATCATTTCACTTAAATTATCGATATATTTATAACTTGCTTTAGTCACGATATGGCTGAAATATTGCCGATGTGACTTAAAATCTTAACTCACTCACTCACTCACTCCCAGGAGGCACTGAACATGTTCAGGATCATACGGTAGATGGACGAGTGACGCTGTCATGTCGCTTAATGTACTGTGTGCTACCGCTGAACAGAAAAGTGTTAGACAGTCTCTTTACATTAATTGCATAATCTAGGTTTCATGTTTACGTTTTGGTGCAAAGTCACACATTAACGGCTGTGAGTAGGAAGTGACTAGGGCTGTGCAGCAGACAGAAGTCCTTCTGTTTAACTTTTCAGACCAGCCAACTTCATCCAGGTGAAGAACTTCGTAAGGTTATTCTTCTCATCAACACGCTTCACAGAAACTGGATGCAGTGGTCGTTCAGGGACCAGAGATTCATTACGCAGTCGAGATTTAATTAAGCATTTCATTTGAGATGACATTTTGGTGATTTCGATGTGACTGGTCCTCTGAAGCCAAAAGAAAGCCATCTGATTTTCGTTTAAGACCCTCCGATTTTATTAAGACAAAAGATTCGGTTGGTCTGCTATTCTTTTCCTCACGTTGCAGATATACACGGAACAGTGGTTTCCCTGAAGTCTTCTCCTTAAATAGTCGACTCTTGGCAGACATAGTTTACATTCATCACTGCACCGTCCAGTTGTACATCGCAACAAAAACATCTGCAACGTTCATATCCATATCCACCTTCTATTATTATTAAAACTGGGCATGGAGTCCTTTCAATACTGTACTAGAAGACCCCCCCTTAAATTATTTTGCATCTTGGCAGGATGGTGATTGGCTGTTTTTCACTGTCAATATGTCACTTTTTCTGAAGACAAATACCCCTGACTCCGAAATACCGTGAGGCGAACGAAAACCCTTCCAAAACTAATGTGATCGCATCTTTACTTTTAACCCTAATCCCTTTAATTCATAAATTAGCCATAGGCTAATGACATCTAAAGTGGAATGGTTGAAGGGCCTTTTGCCTCAAACAACACGTTGAAATTTTGATCGGTCGCTCATAGCGTCATCGAGGCCGAACTGATGAGATATCTAACTGCAATCAGTCCGGATACTTTAACCTAAACGATTCAATCACTGTCCGGGCCTAGCTTTCAGTTCACTGGGTCAATTAAACAGTGTCCTGGACTACACTCTTGACCAGCTACTAACTCAACACTATATATGGGGAGTGTGGCCAAGGCAAGATTAAACACAACATATCAGGTTTATTACGGAGACGAAGGAGATGTGTGCCTTTGGTCTCGAGTATAAAATCTTCTTATGTGGCCTTTGTGGAGAAAGAAAGGCAACTAAAGAGATGCAAATACTGCTCATTATTGAGGGAGAATGGCGTCTGGTGGCAATTCAAGGTACATGGGTCCAATGATTACTAGATGGGCATGTCACTGAGTTATAACAGGAGCCTATTCCAAGAAAACTTGAGGTCCAGTGTCTTTCTAAAGAAATGGCACAAACCTTGCCACCAGTTACTATTGATTGGAATGAGAGACATTTAGGATTTTATGTGGCATGCCTGCTGGAAAACATCAGACAAATTGGAAATTTCCTCTACAGGTCGGAAATGATTTATAGATTTGGTATTTATATGTACTGTGCAAATGTAGTGAGTAGTCAAATAATTAAGAAGAAGAGTTGGATGCACTCAGAATTGCCATTTTCTGTCCGGAGTCTCCAGACGGTTGTCTACATATATAACATCAGAGAACCCTTTTACAGACTAAAAAGATTCACCAAACTATTCAATAATTAAGAATGATCTATTATGTGCCTTTACTTCGATTTAATTATGGCCAACTATTTACAAATATGTCTACGCTACCTACATTAAGGTATATAAATGTGTGTTTCTATACAGTGTGTCCGTCGACATGATCATTTAAGTGCCCCGAGCAGGAATTGTGTCCCTGCACACGTAATCACTCTAACCACAGAAATGTATTTTCTATACAATGATATATGTTTGTCGACATCATTCATACACGGACTCAGTTTGTCCTTCTTTTGAGCAGTATGGTGATAACTTACCTGTCTAATGCAATTGCTGCAAGGGTATTAACGGACGCACACACAGCAACACCTTGGAGATAGGGCGTCAGTTTGCACATGAAGGCACCCAGTTGCCATCCTGAAAACAAACGCAAGCGTTATTTAAAGGGGAAGTGTACACGAAAATTAACCTTTTTGTCTTCCACTTTTTTATTGTAAGAAATGTTTGTCAAGTTGTTTTATAGCCAAAACAACACAGATATCAGAAGTAACGAATTTATTTTTTGCGTTATACCAATTCAAAGTTTCCACATTAACCGAATGTTCTGTCCACAATGAACACATCATGGCTTATGTCCCTTGGAAATGACGTCATTGGTGCCCAAATGATAAATGAATGACGTCGTTAGACCTTATTAGAACCATTTCACGTAGTGCAGGTATAGGTGTGGTTCTTGTGTCTCGATGCGCAGGCTACTGTTTTAATCCACCTGTTGCCTGGCCGTCAGCTGGCTCTGTGGTTGGTTGCACACTAGCTGTGACATTGTACAAAAAGTGTTACCACTTAACCAAATTTTATAACATGCAACCTGAGTCGGTGGTCTTTCCAATCAACTTCTTTCACCAAAATTCGAACGTACCTATGCACTAAATCTAGCGTGCCACCGGTGAACGTGAAGGCATTCTACGTTTGGTACATTCCTACATTTAAATCGTACAATATATGTCCGTCCTGTTCAACCTTCACATTGATGCCGAAACCATATCCAAAAACATCACAAAGATACGCACGCCATTTTGAGGAAGTCGCTTCCCGATAGTGATGTCATACGTACGTCAACATTGTTATACATATTTGATATTTCCATTGAGGTGAGGTTATGAATGAAAATACACACGATCATTTCTATCTTGCTGCTTACATTGTCAGTTCTAATGCTTCTTTCGTATTTGACATCCGTGTTTTTACGTGATTAATGTCAGAATTTACATCTTTTGGCTTTGGGACTAGACAGGAGACCAGTTTAAATCAGCTGGCACCAATTACGTCATAATCAAAGGGCAGTAACTCTGGTCTGTTTAGCTCGGCAAACTGAGGCCTCATAATAGCATAACATTTCAGCACTTATAGTGCGGGTTATACACTCATTGTAAGAAAAATTAGTGTATATTTTCAAACACTGATATTAAGTAATTAAAAAATTCCATTTTGGTTCACATAAGAAAAAACATGACTTTTTCGTGTACACTTCCCCTTTAACGATAATACATAAACGAGATAATACGAGATGTGTAACGCTGCGTTATCTCTTTCGTCTGTATCGGTCCCTGTAATATTTTGTCCATTTCATATTCATGTATTCATGTCATTGTAGGGATTCCGGTTCAGAATCTCCATTACATCATGCCTGTCGATGGCCCCACTAAGATACCTCGGCATGTCTCAAATCAACTTGTTTCCAATAGTTGGATGCCTGCCCAAGGTTATCACCACTTCCCGGTACACGAATGCTCATGTTTTCGTTGCTCATATGCATAAATTTGAATCAGCAAGTTGTCTGAGGCAGAAAAGCTACACAGAGATGCTTATCCTCACACAAAGATTTCACAAACTGTCTACAGGACACATTGTCTGAACACATTCATTAATACTATCGGGTGGAGTTATTTCCATTACAATATTTAAACTTTATTTTGTTTGAATGTCTTTAGGATGAGTTAGAAGTGGATACCATGCATCAATTGACAATAGTTAACTTTTTGTACAACTGCAAACATTGTTGAGAAATATGCCAATATTAACACATGTATAATGTCATTATCGAATATTTCAAAAGCTTGTTTTGGGCACTTGACCTGTATATAACCTGAACAATGTATTCATTGGGTAAGTGTGAAGTTAGTTAATTTGGGCAATGACCCTCTGAATGAAAGTAAGTGAGTGAGTAAGTATGGTTTTACGCCGAGTTTAGTAGTGGTCTGGTAATATAATTGACGTGGGGGAACACTAGAAATAGGCTATACACATTCTACGACTGCAAAGATTAGCACCGGGGCTTTCGCCTTGACAAGCGAACGCTTTAACGACTGGGCTAAAACTACCCACCCCGCCCTATTGTAAATGAAAGCATGCGGTTTTCTTTTTCTAATTTATTACGTTATAACCGATATCAAGAATGAGTGAGTCAATACTTCTTAATCATCATCTTCTAGCTATTTGCGGTGACACAAATATAGATTTACGAATAAGGTGATTAATGTTCATGTATTACAAGATTATGTGAACACTCTGAGATACCATGCATTTTGACAATGATACCTCGCTTATTGTCATTATACTGAGGCGACCGGTCCCCGCCCAGTTGCCTTAATACCAAGCGTCACTTAGGGTAATGGAATATACCATCTCTTAGCTCGTGTTGGATGTAACACCACCAAAGGATCGAACCACTAACCTTCCGCCGCTCTTTTGGCTGATGGTTTATCCACAAAACATCGGAGGCGGTTAACCATTGAAGTAGTTAGACTTTCTAAAAGCAATCTAGTACTTTTCATCGGAGGCGGTTAACCATTGAAGTAGTTAGACTTTCTAAAAGCAAACTAGTACTTTTCTTAACCACTTCCTTGGAAAATCGGAACTATACATATATACAAATATGTTTGTAACCTAATGTTAGGTATAACCGATGCAATGTGTAATCTCAGTACCGTGATTCCAGTCACAGTGTACATTTAGCATTATTTGAAAACGTTTCATTTTGGATAATTAACGTGTTTATTTGTTTTATTTCAAAGACACAAGCCCATTGTCACTTCAAAGCCAGTCAATAAAAATCAGCACTTTCATAACATGGACAAAAACAACTAGTTTGGGGCAAACCTTTGAACTATATCCAACTGTTCATTATATGGAATCAGACAGGGTAAGATCAAAGACCTCTAACCGTCCCATTGTTGAAGGGTATCAAGTCAAAGACAGGTAATTAAACGTGCGCTACTGACGCACCGGGCTAACAGGTCTGATCGAATGATTGACATCAATACCGATCTCGCAAGGCGGTTGTGGCCAAAATTGGCCCTCCCGAAAGGGAAGCTCGATAAACTGTCATCTGTTCATGGATTAAAACAAATAGGAAGGCAGTAACGAGGAACACCAGATTATATACCCGCAATTCTACTTGCTGTAGTCGCCAAATGCAGAACAAGACAGATGACTTGCCAAAGGAAACTATCGAATCCGATTCTGAAAAGTACCGAATGCAGTCAGTTGTATTGACGAGAACAATAAATGATTGGAAATGATGCTATGCCTAAACGTCACGTCTCAAACATAAGAACAATTTGGTTTGTCTGTATGGTTGGAGTTAAGGATAAATTGAATGAAATATGTTCACGTCGTCTTGGATGAAGTTAATGCATTGCCAGAGGCTCTGATCTTAATTTTTCATTGAAAAATCATCCTTATTTCATCCCTGCTAGCCTTTTGCTCCCACCTTTACATAACAAAAAATAATGTCGAATGAAGCATTCATTCAATTGATAGAGAAAGGGAGAGTGACTTTTGATGTTTGTTTTCTAATGGCTTTTGTTGTATCGTCGTGGCTTGAATGACATTCCTTTCAAAGAAATAAAACAACAACACAAATAGTCCTGATTTCATAACTGGTTATCGAAGATGAAAGCATTATTTGATATCTGGGAACTGTAAGCATGGTTTATTACTCTTGACGTGAACATTGTGAATTTGCAACATGTGGAATGTACAAAGTTTGTATCTTTGCAATGATGGCATTTTTCATCATATATCAATTGTCTGCTATTGATCTTAAGAACTTAAAATGGAAACTGACTGTGGTGAAAACCAATTACGTTTTCATACTACGTAATCATAAACTCGCATTCACCCAAACGTTATTGAATCAAGACGAATGGTACTATCTGGAACGCATACGGGCGCCAATCGATCTGACCGTGCTGTTGAAACGATGAAAACGAATTAAGGAACTCGGTAATGGCCACATCTTGAGATTTTGCAATCATATGAGGCGTCACTTAGAAGACATATATTTGTCTAGTGCAAATACGGTACTGGGTATAATGTCACACATATCTGTCAGTCTTGGAAAATCTCCTTACACATAAATGGAGTGCAAACCAGCTGCTCGCCGAAAGTACTCATTTTACAGTTTGTAATTAAGCCTATTTGACTCAAACGTACATCCATTACCTTGAAAAAAGGAAGATTGGCTTCTAAACCGGATGTTCTGACATATTAACTTTAGAAATGTGGTGAAGTCGCGTAATTATACCTTTTGGAACGCTCCTTTTGGCTTTGCTTCTCATAGGGGAATTTTCTAACATTAGGGAGCATTACTATTTAGAAATGCTCACTGTCTCGAAATCTCAGAACTTGCATTAGTGACCAGTCACTGAAGAGGCAAACATTCAAATGTACAGTCTGATAATGTATCGGAGTCAATCTTGTGTGTGTTCCCCTCGAAGGAACGGTGCAATTTCTGCATACATAGCGTTGGATAGATAGAGCTCTGTACTAAATGAGAATTGTAAGCTTCTGAACAACTTTCAAGGGGCAGGTCTTGTACAACGTGAAGAGTCATATTATTTTTATTGCAAATTAATGTGTTCATACAAAGTAGTACATACGCCTTTTTCTGGGCATAAACCGTCATCGCAAAAGAATACCCAGTCTTGACTTTTCAAAACCATAGACTATCATCAGGATCAGTTCAGTAAGTATTCATGTAATGTCGTACAAGCATATATTAGTTACGATACACATGACTACTTGGGGCATATGACCAGTGTTAATGTATAGTAAGCATTTTGTAACCTTCAAATTTACCATTTAAGACTTTGCCAAAGATAACCCCGGCACCCTCAGCCCCAAATAAGAAAGAAAGGAAAAACAAGAAAGCAAAACAACAACAAGAAACTACCAACAAACCCAAATCAAACAAACAAACAAAACAAAACAAATCTAAACATTAACAAAACAACATCAACAACAAAAACAATAATGGTAAAAATATTGGTTTACATCCTAAGGTAACCTACAATGCAGCTCCGAGCAGTGTGTTTTTGTACATATTTTGTACAGATCTTTTGTACATATCGTTT